AAAGGAGAAATAATTGTTTGGAAATAATGTTGGAGATAGACAATTTTGTGTTTTGAAAACCAAAGAATAGTCAAAGTCATGAGAAAAACTAGCAAAATGCAATCTAAAATGGGGGTCTTCAATTCATCTGTTGGTAGTTGTTTGACTTATGAGGTTCTGTAGCTGATAAAATATTTGTAAACATTCTGAAACAAGGAGAATTTTTTCCCCTGTGTCACCTGATTAAATAGAAGGTCTATTTGATTTTTTATTTTGTTTTGTTTTTGGTATCAGGGATTGAACCCAGAAGTTCTTAACCACTAAGCCAGAATCAGAATATAATTAAGGTAAAAAGAGAAGCATACTTTTAGAATATGAATGTGTGGGTGTAGGTTAACATTGAATAAAAGTTTAGGGTATTGCAACTGAGAGATTTGAGAAGGGTAGGATTAATGAAAGGGGACATGAAGCACAGAGAAATATAAGGATAAATATCCAAAGGAGCATATATTTTAGGAGGTGACTAAGAATAATAGAAACATGAAATAGGGTAGAATTAGCTAGAAATTCAATTAGTTTCAGAGGCTTTATAGTAACTTATTATTGTATGGTTTGACTACCACCTTAGTTTAATAAATGAATAATATTTTAAAATCTATAAAAAGTATTTTTACATTCTAGTACATTTTGTTTGTGCCTGATTGATTGTGTCTGTCATAAAAATTTTTTTTCATTGTAGAATTTTGTATAGGAAAAGCCCCATAAACCCTCCATAACCATGATGTCTTTGCTTTGGAACGTTAATTGTTCAATTTTTGTTCTTATTGATTTATCATTTTCTACAGTTTCAGACATAATGGACATAAATTTTAAAAACCAAATACAAAGTTATCATTGCATAAGAATTCCATGTTTCCACATAGTCTTCATAATATTTCTAATAATGGCACCATAGTCATAGTACTACAATCTATTTAGTCATTTCTCCATTATTATTTCTATTTAGTTTCTGTTGTAGGAATAGATAGCTGTCTTGAGCATCTTCATGTGACATATACATACTGCTGTTCCTTTGCTAAGGCATTCAACACTGCAATGTGCACTTGATAGAGTGCTTCAAATACAAGGGTCTAGCAGCCATGGAGAAAGAATTAGGGTTTGGGAGATGAGACTAGAATATAGGAGACTAGCTAGGAGGATAGAGATGTGAAGGACTGGTATAGGGTAATTATAGTGGAATTGGGAAGGAAATGAATAAGTTGGACATTTTGAAGGAAAAACTTGATAGGATTTGGTGACTGGAAATAAAGCATGAAGGATACAAGATAAGTTCAAACTTTTTAGCCTGAGATAGTAAAAGAACTAGGGAGATTTTTCCTGGAAGAAAAACAGAGTAAGATCTTTTGGTTCCTTTCAGGTTTTTAAAGGATCTTTACATGGAAGTTCTCTGTATAAGAGGCAGAGTTAGCTAGAGGGCAGTATTTATTTAGTTATTTAGGTACTGGGGATTGGACCCAGGGGTGCTTTACCACTGAGCTACATCCCACCCCTTTTTATTTTTTATTTTGAGATAGGGTCTTGCTAAGTAGCTTAGGGCCTTGCTAAGTTGCAGAGACTGGCCTTGAACTTGCCATCCTCCTGCCTCAGCCTCGTGAGTTGCTGGGATTACAAGTGTACATAACTATGCCTGGCTTAGAAGGCAGCATCTTATTACAGGCAGAGCAGACTTAAAAAGGAATAAAGGATTTTCACAGGTAGTTGTATTTCCTAACAGTGGAGGAGGTCAAGCAGAGGTTTAACATTTGTCTACTAGGGATGAGTATGTAGAAAAGATTCTACATACACATCTTCTTACCTTTTTTTTTAAAAAAAAATGACCCTTCCATAAACATGAAAACCTTCCTTTGTTGTGGGGGCAGAGTAGGTGGGTGGGGAAATAAACTTTTTTGATTTGTACATTTAGCATTGTAATATTGATTTTTTTTTTCAAATTATAAAATTCCCTGGCAGAGGGATTTTCTAAGTCAATATTGTTTTAGATGACTCAGGTTGCTTTCAACTTGGACATATTTTTAATATGAATATGAAGTATCAGTTTCTTTTTTTTTTCTTTTTATTCTTTTTTTTTTTTTTTGTGTGTGTGTGTAGGGGTGGGTACTGGGGATTAAACCCAGGGATGCTTTACTACTGAGCTCTATCCTCAGCCCTTTTTATTTTTTGAGACAGGGTCTCACTAAATTGCTGCCTTCAAACTTGTGATACTCCTGATTCAGCCTTCCAAGTTGTTGGGATTATAGGTGTGGGCCACCATGTTGGACTGAAGTGTCAATTTCTAGGGAAAAAAAAGTAATTGAACTGTTCTGTGAAGTAGTAGTATGCACCCTATTGCTGGAAATATTCCTGTAACTAGGCCATTCTTTATTAAAGATATTTAAGAAAGGTTTCAGATTTATAGATTCTATAGTTTATAATCATTAATACCCTGGGTGAATTTCTATTATGACTCCTACTTTTTTATATGTGAAGGCAATCCTGGGAAATCAAGGCAAAGCCTGAGAAAGGAAAGATTAGAATTATTTGATTTTCAAAGTCAGAGAAGATAAATTTTATGACCTTCAAAAAGAAAGTAACTTGTGGTCGGGGGTTGTGGCTCAGAGGTAGAGCACTAACCTACCATGTGTGAGGCAATGGGTTCAATCCTCAGCACCACATAAAAATAAAAAAATAAAGATATTGTGTTTGCCTATAAATAAAAAATAAATATTAAGAAAGTAACTTGTACTTGTGGATCACAAGGTACAAGGGGTGGAAAACTCATCTGTAGCAACTTCAAAGGATCTCTAAGAGGGGACAATAAGGATAATTTTTTGTTGTTGTTTTTGTTTGGTTCCCATGCATCCACTGGGGATTAAACTCAGGGGCTCTCTACCACTGAACTACATCCCCACCCCTTTTAATTTTACTTAGGTTTTTAAAATAATTTTTCCACATTATTTATTGGTACATTATAGCTGTACATAATGTTGGGAGTTGTTTTACATATTCATACATACACATAATGTAACAGTATAATTTGGCCATTATCACTCCCCAGAACTCTAAATTAATTTTTAAGTTGGTGTATTATATTTATACAAAAAAAGTGGAATTCATTATAATATGTTTGTACTTGTATGTGGCATAGTTTGGTTAATTTCATTCTGTTCTCATTCCCCTTTCTTATCCCTCCTCCCTCCCTTTCATTCCTTTCCTCTCTTCCATTGTTCTCCCTTCTGTTTTCAAAAGATCACCCACCCCCTCTTTTAAAATTTCTTATTTCTCTCTAGCTTCCACATGTAAGAGAAACATTTGAACTTTGACTTTCTGAATCTGGCGTATTTCACTCAGCATAATGTTCTCCAATTCCATCCATTTATCAGCAATTTACATAATATCATTCTACTTTATATCCCAGCCCTCACCCGTTTTTTTTTGGTACTGGGAAGTGAACTCAGGGGCACTTAACTACTGAACCACATCACCACCCTTTTTAAAATTTTATTTATTTAGAGACAGGGTCTCACTGAGTTGCTTAGGGCCTTGCTAAGTTGTTGAGGTTGTCTTTGAACTCGGAATCCTGCTGTCTCATCCTCCTGGGCCTCTGGGATTAAAGGCATGCACCACTGTGTCTGGCTTATCCCAGCCCCTTTCCCCCACATTTTTAAAAATATTTTTTTAGTTATTCTTGGACACAATACCTTTATTTATTTTTATGTGGTGCTGAGGAACCTCGCACATGCTAGGCAAGCGCTCCACTGCTGAGCCACAACCTCAACCCCTCCCCCACATTTTTAATTGGTGCATTATAGTTGTACACAACTAATTGGTGCATTATAGTTGTACACAATAATGACATTTGTTGTTATATCTTTGTACATGCACACATTGTAACAATATAATTTGTCCCCAATACTTACTCCTCCCTCTCTACCCACCACCCCGTTCATTTTCCTCTTCTGATCTTTCTCTGATTTTTAGGAGATCCACTCCCACCTTTCTTTTCCTTTTTCCTCTCTAGGTTCCACATAGGAGAGAAAATACGACCCTTGACCTTCTGAGTTAGACATATTTCACTTAACATGATGGTCTCTAGTTCCATCCATTTTCCCACAAATGACATAATTTTCATGTTTATTTATGGATGAATAAAATTTTGTTGTGTATATATACTACATTTTCTTTATCCATTGATAGACACCTAGGCTGGTTTCCTAATTTGGTTATTTGATTGTTGTGAACTGTGCTGCTATAAACATGGATATGCATGTATTGCTGAAGTAAGATGACTTTAATTCTTCAGGATAAATTCCAAGGAGTGGTATAGCTGGGTCATATGGTAGTTCCATGTCTAGTCTTTGTGTGTGTGTGTGTGTGTGTGTGTGTGGTGCTGAGGATTGAACCCAGTACCTTGTGCATGTGAGGCAAGCACTCTACCAACTGAGCTATATCCCCAGCCCTCCATGTCTAATCTTTTGAGGAACCTTCATATTTATTTCCATAGTGGTTGTACTATTTTTCAGTCCCACCAACAGTGTAAAAGTGTTCCTTTTTTTCACATTCTCTCGCTAGCCCCTTTTTATTTTGAGACAGGGTCTCATTAAGTTGCCTAGGCAGGCCTTGAACTTGAGCTCCTTCTGCCTCAATCTCCCATGTAGCTGGAATTACAGGCATGCTCTACCACTCCTGGAAAGGATGTTTTTATTTGATGATATAATATTTGTTATAAATGAATGTAATTTAGAGAAAAAAAGTCTTGTTTTAGGTCAGTCCTGTTGAGGTGAGTTTCTTGTAGAGAAAATGGCAAAATAAACTTATATTTGAGGTCATCTGTCACCTGGAGAATTACCATGTTGGAGCAGCACCTATTGAGTTCTAAGACAGTCATCTCTATGGTCCCTTCTACCTCTACCCTCTGTTCTGAACACTGTTATGTCTGAATGATATTTTGAATGATTTTTTTTTGTTTTGTTTTGCCCCCTCAGTGTAGTGTTCTTCAGAGTCTGAAAGAGCTACTGCAGAACTGGCTGTTGTGGCTTTCTGTGGACATTTGCATGAAACCTCTGACGAGCAGTCTTCTGTGAGTTATCTTACAGTCCTCCAGAAAAGATAATCTATATAAAAATGTTTGCATATGAAGTTTAATAGTGTGTCATGAAACCTTATGGTTTCTTATAAATGCTTGGTAGTACTTTTCTGAAATACTTTTTTTGTTTTCACTCTTCTTCCCCACAAAAAGAAAATTCTCCAGGTTCGTATTCTATGTCAGAAAGCAGCCCTTTAGCCTCAAAGCACTTGGTATGAGTTAACTTAGCAAAACACTGGAGAGCTGAGATTAGCATTGCAACTTTGACTTCCATTCAGCCTAACTCACTTTATAAAATGTATTCTTATATATGTAAAGCCAATTTTGATGATGAGTAGAAATTTTTTGAGGTAATTTTTGCCATTCCTCTGGTGTAATTTGGTTAGGTGTATTAATTTATCTTGACTTTTGGGTTAAAGAGCCCAAATTTCCATTAAATGTGTGCTTTACCCTAAAAGTGGAAGTAAAAGACTGGATTTCAAGGAAATACATAATCATATTATTCTATTATTAGCCACATTATTTTATAGCATTTAAAAACTTTATATTATAGGAAGTTGCAAACATAATTAAAAGTAGAGAAAATAGTGCATTGTTACCTCTAGGTACCCATCATCCACCTTCAAAAGTTAACTTATGATTAACCTTTTTTTAATCTATAAATCCTTCTACTTCCTGGATCATTTTTGTAAAATATCGGGGTTTTTTGAGATATAATTAATACACATAGCATAAAGTTTATCCTTATGAGTACACAATTTCTTGGGGTTTAGTATATTCACAAAGTTGTACATCTAATTTCAGAATGTGTTCATTATTCCCACAAAGAAATGCTATACCTATTAGCAGACATTCCCCTGTTGTGCCCTGGCAACAACTAATCTACTTTTTTTATCAATTAATTTACCTTTTTTGAGCATTTCATGCTGCTCCCATCCAGCCCACCACACAGACACAGAATAACTTTTTATAAGTTTCAGGATGGCTTCCCTGGCTCCCAACCTCAGGCTCCCACAGGGGGACAAGAGAAAGTCACAAGAGGCTGATGAGAGAGAGGGAGTGCATGTTCTGGAGTTGGCTTTTATTGGGGGAAGCTGTTTCTTAGAACATCCTATCTGAAAAAAGGGACAAAGGGTAGGATTACAGAGGAACAGGTGAGTGTAACTCAATCCCACCAGGTAACGCCTACTCCTGGAGCCATGCCTCATTATCTAAGTAGAGGTAAAGCCCAAGTTATTGTGGGGTGCAATAATTGTTCAGTATCTCTTGCTCAGGACTTAAGGGCATATTTCCAGAGCAGCTCCCGATATATTCCCCCTTCTTTCTTTGAAAAAGTATGTGATGAGTCGCTATCTAGAATTCTTGTTCTGAAGGCACAACATCCTATGATTGCAAGAGAGGATTAATAGCAAAGCGAACAGTCCAATAATATACCATGTAGAATGTTTTAGTATGTTTCCATGGTTAAAACCATTCAACTCTTAAAGTATTTGATCAGGTAAAGAGGTAGGAACTGAAAAATTAATCTTACTTTTTTGTATATCTTGAATATGATGATGTAACTCCAAAAGATCCAAGTTATTATTATTGTTCTGTCAAATACCTAATAAATGGTTTTTAACCATTTCCCAATTCCATTGGGAACACTGTATTTGGCAGCAGTAACACACACATATTTATAATCAGTATGACATTTGAGTCTTTCCTTGAACCTTAAAGCTGAAAGCTCATTATCAATATTTATAACAGTAGCTTCTAAGGCATTTAGCTTAGTTTCAGTCCTTTCCTCAATATTTATCTGATTATAAAGAGCTTTGGAAGTGTTCTAAGCCAAATTATTAAGAAAATCTGCATGCTGAATATTTTGGCCACTGAAGCTGTGACCGTGGAAGCAATAAATGAAATTAAGGCAGCCACTCCAAGTATTATAAATCCAAGAGCTCACTTAGGTCTGGTCAGCTGGGCATGTATTTGTTGTAACACTTGAAAACCAGGATCAGTATACCATGGCTCTGAGATATTAGCTGGCAATACAACAAAAGAGGACTGGTGAAGTATCAGTGTTCCCTTCTCTGTATTGTATCTGGTGATACAATTAGTTAAATTACATTTATTACAGGCTACAAGATATATATCATCTTTTCTTTTGACTTTCACATCTCTAGTAATTAAAACATAAGGAGAATGAACACAGGCTCACAGGCCATAATAAGAACCTTCCTTACTACAATTTCTGCCTACAAAGTCAGGTAAAGGTTTGTCAGTAAAATGTAAACATTCTGAGGCTGCAATCAAATGCCAGCCATCTTTCTGAATGCCACCTTTGCTGAAGATCAAGATGTTACTAACAAAACCTCCAGGGGTCATGGCAGCACCCTTATGTAATTGTTTTTTGTCAGTCCTCGGAGACTAGTCTAAAATATACCCATTATTTCTAGACAATTTATGCTGTATTGGGAAGGTATTTATACAATCCATCCATTTAGGGAATGTGCCAATTTCTATTGAAGAATGGTTAGGACAGTGAGGTATTAATGAACATTCTGCTGAAATGACTGGCTTGTTATGAGAGAATCCCTTTTAATAACTGTTCTAATATGGCTTTGAGTACTTGAGGCCAGTATGATTAGCTGGTCTAGGCCCCCCAACTGCTCTTTTCCTCAAAGGACACTTTTAGACAGCCAGCATGTTTATTGAGGGACCAACACATAGGTAACTGACCGCTACAGCCAGAATAATTAAATCCAGTCATCTGGATGGGAGTACTATGGGTGTCTGTAAAACCTCCCATCATATGTGAGTCATTAGTAAATAGTGGGATGGATTCTCTAGTCCATACCATTGGGTGTACTAAAGGTGGATCTGGAAAGTATGTCGATACGTTTCTCCCTGTGTCCCAGTTACCTGGCAGCTCAATACAGCTAGCATTGCTTTAAGCTCATAGCTGGAGACTTAGTCCTTCCTTGCTACTGGATCATCTGCTCAGCCTGCAGCGTCAGATTTTTCAAAAACTTCCATGAGGGTAGCTTCACCGTTGGGTCTCTCTGGGCCATCTTTTTTTCCCCCTCATCCTTCCTCTTCTTGTAAGGAGTCATCTCTGGATCGATCCTCAGTCATTTGAACCTTACCTCTAGGTCCTCCATGTCTGATGGCACATTCAGGTACCCAAGTAGGATAAAATGCACCTTCTGGGAAAATACAAGCATGACCTGTACCCCATATCATCACTGGATCTGGTCCTTTCCATTGACCTGTTTGTAAATCTTTCCACCAAACTTGGCTTAAAGAATCTGTTACTGTGGAAGATGTGTGTCTCTCAGCTGCAATGTGACCTTCTGAGTCACAATTTAGAAAATTTAAAACAAACAAGGCATGGTTAAGGTTATTTTGGGAGGGGTCCTATTTCCCCCTTTCTGTTTTTGTAATTACAGTTTAATAGATAAATGAGCTCGTTCTACAATGGTTTGACTTTGAGGGTTGTAAGGAATACCTGTTTTATGGTCAAAACGAAACTGTTGGTAGAACTGCTGAAAAGAAGAGCTAGTATAAGCTGGTGCATTATCAGTTTTAATCTGTAAAGGACATCCTAATACTGCAAAGGCAGCTAGGCAATGAGAAATAAAATGTTGCGTATTTTCTTTTGCATGTCTGTGGCAAAGATAAATCTGGAATAAGTATCTACAATTACATGTACATAACATTATTTGCCAAATTGAGGAATGTGAGTTACATCCATTTGCCATAACTGATTTGGTCATAACCCGTGGGGATCTACCCCAGATGGTAAAGATGGAATGTGTACAACACATTGTGGGAATTGATGTACAATTTGACGCACTTGCTCTCTAGTAATAATAAAATTTTTGTGCAAACTAGAAGCATTTTGATGATGTAATGAACGTGAAGCCTGTGCACAGTCATACAAAGACAGTTGCTGACAAACAGCAACCAGTTTATCAATCTTATCATTACCTGATGTTAAAGGCCCTGGGGGATTAGTGTGGGCCTGTGTATGGCCTATAATACATGCATGTTGATGTGTTTGAACTGTCTTCTGCAAGGTATGAAACAAATTGAATAACTCTTGTGATGGTGTGTACCCAATAGGTGAAGTTTCAATATTTTTTGTAACTCCAACTGCATGTAAACTATCAGAATAAATATTAATTGACTCATTTGCAAAATGATTTAAAGCACACATGAAAGCCTGAAGTTCTGCTCATTGTGCAGGATTACCTCTGTCTGAGCATGGCTATATAAACCTGCTTTACCTGAACTTGACTTATCAGTGAACACGGATAGTGCTCCATTTATTGGTTGAGCATGCACAATTTTGGAAAAATAAATGTAGTTACTAAGGCAAATTGAATAATTTTATCATGAGGATAGTGACTTCCTATCTGACCAGGAAAATTAGCAAAAGCTACTTGCCAAGTATTAGAAGTTTGGAAAAGCCAATCATTTTGTTGAGTAGAATAAGGGATAAAAACAATATTAGATTATGATACAACCAGCTGTAAAACTTGAGTTCTGCCTTTAATAACCAACTTAGCAACAAAATCATGAAAAGGAGTTAATGACTTTTGAAGAGAATGAACTAAGTGGATCCATTCAATAACTCCCAATGATTGCCATATCACTCCTGTAGGAGCATAAGCAGTGGGAAATATTAATAAATATGTAGGCTCCTGTGGGTTAATTCTGTAAGTTGAGCACTTTTAATAGCAAATTCAACCTTCTTTAAGGCCGTTCTTGCTTCTGTTGAGAGCTGACAAGGAGAAGTCGGAGAACAGTCCCCCTGTAAAATCTGAAACAAAAGACTCAAATCTGCTAGACTCAAATCTGTTAGTTTTAAAGATGGTCTCAGCCAATTAATATCACCTAATAATTTTTGAAAATCATTAAGGGTGTGTAATCCTTTGACTCTTGTAAGTTTTGAGGACGAATTGTGCGTCCTTCTTTTATATTACCTAGATACCAAAAAGGAGATGTTT